GTTACTCCAGTCTCCCAACCACTCCATCTCCTGCGTTCACAGCCCGCTACCTCAAAATGCCCTTGAACTTTCTAACCCAGCTCATAACAGCACTTTTGTTACTTAGCAGTTTCACCTGAGCCATCGCCTGAAAACATCCAGACATTAAAATCTCACTCCTCTAGTTATTCCCCCTTGGCTTTACTGAAAATGGAGCGTTGGTTCAGATTAAGGGAAGCATGTCAGGCAGTAGTCTACTACAGCGGTGTAGCTGACAGTAATGGAAGGGGGAAGGTCTTCCATTAAATCCACAGTTTACAAGGTCAGACCAAAGGGACAGAGAAGGAAATTCTGTCACTAGAAAGTTGAAAATTTGTAAGAAAGAAGTCTTGGATAGACTGTTAGTACTTAAAGTTGACAGGACTGAATGAGATGCATCCAAGGAGTTTGAAGGAAGTGAGGGTAGAAATTGGTGGGCGGGGGGGGGCGGTATTCTCCTTAATATTTCAGTCTTTCATGGAATCAGGGGAGGTGCCAGAAGACTGGAGAATTGCAAACATTATGGCCATGTCCAAGGAAGTTTTTAAGGATAATCCCAGCAATTACAGACCAGTTAGTTTAACTTCGATGATGGGAAAGCTTCTAGAAACAATTATTCAGGATAGAATTAGTAATCGCATGGACAAAGGTAGGTTGATTAGGAAGAGTAGGCATGAATTTCTGAAGGGAAAATCACATTTAACTAACTAGGAGCGTTTTGAAGAGATACAGAAAGGTTTGATGACAGTATCACTGTTGATGTGATGTACATGCACGTCCAGAGGCATCTGATACAGCACCACACAACAGACTTGTGGGGACAGTTATTGGTCATGGTATAAAAGGGTCAGTAGCAATGCAGGTACAAACTGGCAAAGTGGTAGGAAACACAGTAATGGTTAATGGATATTTTTCAGGCTGGAGGAAACTTTGTAGTGGAGTTTCTTAGGGGTGGTATTGGGACACATGCTTTTCCTGATATATATTAATGATCTGGACCTTGGTGTGCAGGTGACAATTTCAAAGACGATACGAGACTTGGAAGAATTGTAACTTGTGAGGAGGACAGTATGGAACTCCAACAGGACAGTGACAAGCTGGCGGATTGGGCAGTAAGGTGTCAGATGAGGTTCAATACAGAGAACGGCAAAGTGATGCACTTTGGTAGAAAGAACACAGACAGTAAAATGGGGGTGGGGCGCAGGAGCAGAGGGAGCTGGGTGCATACATGGATAGATCACTGAAAGTGGCAGGACAGGTGGAGAAAGCAAGAAACAAAGCAGAGTATTCTCAGCATTACTAATAGGGGCAGAGAGTACAGGAGCAAGGAGTTGATGCTGAACTTGCACAAGACCCCAGCTGGGGTACTGTGCACAATCTGGTCATCACATCATAGGAAAGATGTGAATACAATGGAGAGAGTGTAAAAGTGATTTACAACAACGATTTCAGGAATGAAAAATGTCAGCTGCAAGGACAGACTGAAGAAGTTGGGACTGCTCTCCTCGGAGAAAAGACAGCTAAGACAAGATCTGACGGAGGTTTTCAAAATCATAAGTGTGCTAGATAAAGCAGATAGGAAGAAGCTGTTTTCATTTGGAAAAAGAACATCTAACAGAGGTATGATTTAATGTGATGTACAAAAGAAGTAAGGATGATGCCAGAAAAAACTTTTTCACACAGCAAGTGGTTAGAGTGTGGAATATGCTGCCTGGAAATGAGGAAGAGGCAGGTTCAAATGAGGCCTTCAAGAGGGTATTGGATGATTATTTAGATAAAAGTACAACGATATGGAGGAAAGACTGGCGCTAGGTAATGATGTTCATTTTACAAGCCAGTGTAGGCACCGGGGCTAAATAGTCTCCTTCTGCCATAACAATTCCATGATTCTAAGGTTATGAAGAACAAATGTCAGACTTACACAGGAGACTGTTTACCTTAGAAAGGAGATCTGATACAAGTTTTCAAAACCAATGAGGGGTGTGAACAGAGTAGATTGGGAGAAACTGTTCCAGCTCAACCATAAGCGTTATGGTGAGTGGGCGGGTAAGTGGAGCTGAGTCTCAAAAAGATCAGCCATGATCTTGTTAAATGGCGGGGCAGGCTCGAGGGGCCAGATGGCCTACTCCTGCTCCTAGTTCTTATGTTCTAACCAGTGGCACAGTGGTTAGCACTGCTGCCTCACAGCGCCAGGGACCCAAGTTCAATTTCACTCTCAGGCGACTGTCTGTGTGGAGTTTGCACATTCTCCCCATGTCTGCATGGGTTTCCTCCCACAGTCCAAAGATATGCAGGTTAAGTGGACTGGCCATGCTAAATTGCCCATAGTGTTCAGGGATGTCTAGATTAGGTGGGTTATAAGGGGATGGGACTGGGTGGGATGCTCTGAGGGTCAGTGTGAACATGTTGGGCCGAAGGGCCTGTTTCCACACTGTAAGGATTCTATGATTCTTTCCCTCTGAATGAAAGGATCAGGAGGGCTGTGTTCCACGATGATGTGCAAAAGTAGTAAAGAAAACGCTCACACTGGTTCAGACATGGAATGCATAATCTTGACGAGTGGTGGAGGCAGGTTCAATTCAGGCATTGAAGACAGCATTAGATAATTAAACCAGAATAATTAGTGAGGCTACAGGGAAAGGTTGGGAGAATGAAACTAAGTCATGATGCTCATTTAGACAGCCAGTGAGAGTTTTGGGCGGAACAGCAGCCTTGAGTGCCATAGCCATTCTGAGAAATGGGCTCTAGACCACAATGTACCGACTGCAGTATCACTTCCTTTGACAGGTACAGCTATAAAACATTGTTGGTGTCACACCACAGGGAGAAGCCGGCACTGAAGTCTGTATCTGTTTAAGTGTGAGGTGATACAGAGTGTGGTAGCACATACACGCAGTGGTGTGTCTGCGTGTATCTGTGTGTGTACACCTGTGCAGTTCAGAGTTACATTAGCCCAGAGATTCTAACAGGCAGATGGTCGATGTAGAGTTTGGTGTCAGGAACACATGGAAATCACTACACCGTTGATTCTGTGGGAACTGCGCAGAAGGTTTTGGGTCAATTACCCTCAAATTCTCTGAAAAACTCAACTCTAAATTAAGATGCACATAATTGAAGATCCAAACAAATAAATAATGCCATTCTTGATCAGATACCAACCAACACTGACTTCAGCACTTCCTGAATGCTTCATGCTGGATGTTTTACATCTGAAGCCAGCCCCTCTCATAGAACTGATCAACACCTGGTCAGCTGTACAACCTGGACAGGCCTCTGGCAAACGAGCTTGACCCTCACACAGAGTCTCCCCGACAGATATTATCAACAGGACAGGCTCATTGCCGTCCTTGCACTCAACATGGGAATACAGAGAGACAAAGCCCTGCCATAAATCAATTGGTCAGCTGAGATACAAGTCACACTCTGTCATCCTATTTGCAGTATTCGGCCCACTCCAGGGGGAGGGGGAAAAGACTCTACAGCTGCCACATTCATCACTTGCGGAACACTCTGGCCATGTGTCCTAGCAGAGAGCACCACCCAGTACAACACAGCTGTACTGGAGCTGGGCCAAAGTGATCTCAGCTACAATGCTCTTAATGACTCCTCAAACAATGCTCCCAACACTGAACTCAACATGACACCATGGTGTGCCAGCTCATCACTTCACTGTAGGCATCACAGTGCCAACAGCTCACATTCCCATGTGCTCACCTGCTGCTGTCTGGGTTCTGAGTTAGTGACTCGTAAGCCTGATGGTTGTGGCCCAAGTCCAAATGGTGCTTGAAAATCTTTGTCCACAGCGCAGCCTGGGAAAAGCAGAAAGATTAACATGGGTGAGCACTGCCTCACAAGGGAGATCATCACTATTACAATATTCAGTAATTCCTTGTAGCACAGTCATATCAACCTTCACCAGTGCCTCGATGACTGCGTAGAGGCATGGTCCCCAAGACAGAAAGATCACCATTATGTTCACCATGGGTTACCAGTCCCTTTACATCTCTATCCCTCACCTGGGCACCCTTCATTTCTGTCTTGAACAGAGCCCCAGACAGTGTCCATTCACCATGGTACTCTTCTACCTGGCTAACTTGTCACCTTAGTTATCTGAACCTTCAACTTCCCATCACTGCTCCAAACAAAAGGTGTCACATGAAAGCCTGTACTTAAGATCCGTTCATAGGATGAGAGCATCACTAGCTTTAGTCACCCATCCCCAATTGTTCTGAGATTGAGTCTTTTGCTTATGTTTGGACCGAGATTATGTGCAAATTAGGACCAAATAAAAAAACTGAAAATGCCACATACCAAAATCTTCCAGTCGTCCCTTGCTTCAGTCACCGCGATTGCTGCCAACTGCAGTACCAGCGCAGGCAAAGCCATGTCTTCCAGCAAACGCAGGACCTAGAAACAAGCAGCACATGACACTAAGCCCAGTACTCAGCTGATATTAGCAATGGCCAGAGAGCTGTAATAGACAGCAATATGAATTCAGGTTCGAGACTGCAACTCTATCATGACAGTCGAAGGAAATGGTGAACAACGCACATTAAGACGTGGAAAATTGATAGAAGCGAGCCCAAGTAACAGTTATCATTGGGAAATGTGCTCCCCACACTAAACTTTGAAACAATGCACTTGGCTCTCGTACGCCATGGCGAGTAGCATGTGGAGACCAGGTGCAGTCTTCAGACCACAGTGTAAGCCAGGCCTCAGTTTAAATGCAGACATGAATATGTGGTTTATATTTCCACTAAAAATTCCTACAACCTCGCGAAGAATATGAACAGTACATGTAAACATGCCACACTGCAATGTTAGCTTCTTCAGTGTGGTGGGACTGTGGAGCAGAAAAACTAGATTCTATTTGAAACTGGAAGATAAATGGAAGTATGGGTTGGAGTGATACGCAGGCATAAAGAGCTAATTTCCTGATTGTGACACAACGTGTTATCGGGGAACAAAGCACATGCTTTTAGAAGTGAATTTGTTGCTCAAATTTCTATTCCAACTTATTTGCACATCATTGAACATAAAAATTTGCCATGAGCCAGCATATTCAGGCAGTAGTTTATAGAGTTATATAGCACGGAAACAGGCCCTTTGGTCCAACAAGTCCATGCTTACCATAATCCTCCAAACATTACTTATTCATGTACTTATCCAAACTTAAAACGTAGGAATTCCTTTCATTTCACTGAAAAATATTAGTGATGTATTTAAGAATGGTAACTCAGTACAGTTTAATTAATAACAATCAAAAGTAGTGTTTCTATAAGAAAATAAGCATTTTGCCTGCAATTTTACCCACTAGCGGCCAGCAACCCAATTTTAAATAACTGAAACTAACATTCAGTACACAGTCTGACACTGGAGCAAGGCAACTCTTTTTGTACTTCAATATTTAAAAGCTTAATTATTCTCTCTTGAAAACTCATAATTAGGTGAGAAATTAGCATCATTGGCTGTGTGGGTCAAGGAAATGTTTCCGGCCCAATTCGGTTTTAATGCAGCAGGTGAATTGTCAAAAATCAGACTTGTACTTGAAATTGTTAACATTTTGTACTGAATTAGCTACATTCAGGTAAAAGGCACAAAAACATTGCAAGGAATGTACAGTCGCCCCAGCTCGAAGTGACAAAAATAAATGATCACAACATTTAAATCCTCCAACCCTAATCATATTCTCTGTCTGCAGATGTTTAATTGTTATTTTTTTGTGGGCAAGTGGGAAAAGTCTTAAGACTTTAATTAAAAAATGAATCAATTTCCCAAACTGAAACAAACCACGTCCTGGCAGGTTAGCTCAGTATCCAAAAGGCCAACCAGTGATCATTGACAATAGTTTCTGAACATTTCATGTTGTCAATAACTTTACCTGAAATAGGAACTCTGATCTACATTCTGGGAAAATTGGATTTGAATACTTGATAATCAGGGAGGTAGAAACAGTCAAAGGTTGGTAAAATGTGGATCAGGTGGAAATCTGGAGAGACAAGGACTGATTAGAGATAGCCAGCATGGCTTTGTGCAAGGGAAAGTGTGTCTCACTAACTTGATTGAGTTTTTTGAGGAATTAACCAAAAAGATTAATGAGGGCAAAGTGATAAATGTTGTTTACTTGGACTTCAGTAAAGCCTTTGATAAGGTTCTGCATGGTAGACTAATTAGGAAAGTTAAATCACATGTGGTTCAGGGTGAGCTTGCCAATAGATATAAAATTGGCTTTATGGTAGGAGACAGAGGCTGGTGGTGCAGCATTGCTTTTTTGGACTGGAGGCCTGTGACCAGCGGTGTTCCACAGGGGTCCGTACTGGGTCCACTTTCGTTTGTCATTCATATAAATGATCTGGATGAGAATATAGGAGGCATGGTTAGTAAGTTAGTGGATGAAAACAAAACTGGCGGTATCGTGGACAGTGAAGAAGGTTATCTGAGATTACAGAGAGATCTTGATCAGTTAGGTCGAGGGACTGAGGAGTTTAATTTGGATAAATAAATGTGAGGTATTGCACTTTGGTAAAACAAACAAGGGCAGGGCTGATACAATTAATGGCAGGGCCCTGGGTAATGTTGTAGAACAGAGATGCCTAGGGATTCAGGTATATAATTCTTTGAAATCTGCATCACAGATAGACAGGGTGGTTAAGAAGGCATTTAGCATGCTTGCCTTCATTGCTCAGACCTTTGAGCGTAGGAGTTGGGATGTCGTGTTGAGATCGTACAGGATGTTAGCGAGGCCTCTTCTGGAGTACTCTGTGCAGTTCTAGTTGCCCTGTTATAGGAAGGATATTATTAAATTGGAGAGGGTTCAGAAAATATATACAGGATGCTGTCAGGAACAGAGGGCTTGAGTTATAAAAATAGGTTGGATAGGCTGGGACTTTTTTCACTGGAGCGCAGGAGATTGAGGGCTGACCTTATAGAGGTTTATAAAATCATGAGGGGCATAGATAAGGTGAATAGCAAAGGTCTTTTCCCTAAGGTGGGGGATTTCAAGACAGGCCGGGGGGGGCATACTTTTAAAGGTGAGAGGAGCAAGATTTAAAAAGGACATGAGGGGCAACTTTTTTTAAAAAACACAGCGGTTCGTTTGTGGAATGAACTGTCAGACGAAGTGGTGGATGTGGGTACGGTTACAATGTTTACAAGCCGTTTAGATAAATTCATGAATAGAAAAGGTTTGGAGGGATATGGGTCAAATGCAGGCAGGTGGGGCTAGTTTAGTTTGGGCACCTGGTCGGTGTGGGCTAGTTGGGCTGAAGGGTCTGTTTCCATGCTTTATGACTCTATGCCTCTCTACGACTCTAGAAAGGAATAGCGACTGGAACAGATAGCCCTACATTATTCACAAAAACCTTACCTAGTGACTGTGTGTCTGACTACAGCTATCTGCATACAATAAGCAGCTGGAAGATCTTTATTCATCGTACATGCTAATTACTGTGTGCCCTAAACAATACCAATGGGAAGTAAGGATCGCAAACAGCAAGAACCACTAAAGATTTTTTTAGGGTAACACTGTCCAATTAGGGCTCAATCACATCCTGTCCTTAAAGCTGGAGAGTGCAGACATACAGCTCCGAGAAGTAGCAGTATCATTGGTGCAGGATTACTGCAATACCACAAAGACTGCACAGGCCGCACCTTATTGTAGTACTGCACCCGGGGATTGGAGGCAGCTTCCTCATCCTCCACTTGGATGAGTCTGTCCAGGAATTCCTCTCTGCCCACCGCTGCAGCAGCATCACAGAAACACTCGAGAGCCTGGGGGAGCAGACAAAGACAGGGACACATCACAAAACTAGGAACGTGTCAGGATCGAGGGAAGGATGAGGCAGCAATCCACATTCCACTGGGAACTGGCGGCCCTTCCACTGGGCACTGACAGCCCCCTCACTCTCTGACTGACCACTCTTTATTTCGCCCTCCCACCCAACATCGCTTGGGGAGCACTACTGCCTACTGCACCATGCCCCACTGGGCACACATTCGAGCCACCTACAGTGGGGACTGCTCCCTCATCTCTGTATATTGTTGGTATAGTTCCAGCAATCCCAGTGAATCAGACTTTTTTAAAAAAAATAAAATAGAGAAAGACATGTGAAAAGTTCATTCCACCAAGTTTACATTTGACTTTAAGTGGTGACGTGGCTGCTGATGGTGCTCAAAACAAGAAGGGGAGAAAATGAACATTCGGCAGCACTAACCCGACAGTACTAACCCGACAGTAATCTCACCTTGTGTCCTTCCCCTGTAACAAGGTAACACTGGCCCAGCACAAATCTCCGCGAGCCGACATTAACCTCACACCAAGGCTGCAGCAACCTCACGTACTCCTATACAAACAACAGCATGTTCACATCAGTAATCACAAAGCATTTCACTTCACACGTAGATAGCATTGACATATAGGCCTAAACAGCCTGATCCTGTACAAAAACCGCTCTGAGACTTAGCAATAAGAAATGGTGAAGGAGCACTCATTGGAAATCCCAATCCCAATACACCAGACACAAGGCCCCTAAAGCTCTGCACAGTATGAACACCACACCAATTTTCCCCGTTATTTTCCCGGTGCAGGGATCCCTGATCGACGGGGACTGTCCCGGTGCAGGGATCCCTGATCGACGGGGACTGTCCCGGTGCAGGGATCCCTGATCGACGGGGACTGTCCCGGTGCAGGG